GAGAGAGAGAGAGAGAGAGAGAGAGAGAGAGAGACTAATTAGGCTTATTAATAATTTTATAGGCGTTGAAGTATTTTCCAAACTATACGGAAGCAATTAAAGTGTACCCGTATTTCTCGGCTATACATGACATGGATTTGAGTCAATCATTACCGCAGAAATTATACGAAAAAATTAAAGTATTACGCGATGTATTCACTAATTGACAATTCATACTTATTTATCAATAAATTGTTTCAAGTTATTATTAAAATCGATAATTATTTTGAATGCAAAACAGTCTTCATTAACTATAATGTATATTAAACTTTTGTGTAAATTATCAAGTGTAATTATTGTGTTAAAAACAGTTGTATGATAAAAACCACTGTACATGTACTGATTAAATACAAACGCATGTCTATTAAAGTTATAAACATTAAATAAACTGATAAGTTTTAAAAGTCATATAGACTGCAAACCTGTTGTCAAAACAGTATTATGTAATTTCTATTTTTGTTTTTATTTTTACTTTATGATAAAATTTTTATAAATTTTGTTTGTTATTCTTATGTAACTAACTGTTACAATGAAGTAATGCTTGTTATGAACCACAAATCCAGTACTTAATTTAATAATGAAAGTATTGGTATATTTGAATGATTGTGAAAACTATAGCATTCGTATCGATCGTACGGATAGTGCGGTTGTGTTGCCCTTCAATGAAGTTTACAATGAAATCCAGAAACAACTAAAACACAACATCACATCTAATACCCATGTCTTCGAGGTATGTATGAAATACACATATACAGTATTGTGTACTACTGTTATAACTTATAAGAGTCTTGTATAGTATAGTGGATATCATTTTTTATTTGAAACTTAAAAAAACAGATATTTGACACGGATTTTAATGAATACTGTATTATAACGAGTGATAATCATGTGATTGAAAACCTGTCGCGACTACGGGTGCGATGGACTGATCGGAGTTGTCATCCCTGTCGGTCACTTTTATACCATTCTCAGCGTTAAACTCTTTGATCACATTTTCGGGCATTTTTTGTGGCAATTTAGTCGCGACTACGGGTGCGGCCGAAGACAGTGAACAACGAGTCCATAGGTTTAGGCATTAATCGGGACTCAAATGTTGGCCACAAATACAGCCATAAAATACAGTACGAGAAAAATGAGCTCAACTTAAATGAAAACAACTTTAATAAATGTGAGGACAGTATTAATGATTACGAGGACAGGGAGGAGACGGAGGGCTCGACTGCCGGTGACAACACATCCCTAAGTGTCTGCACTAATAGTGAGAGTAACAGCGATTCACTGCCGCCACCGGAACCTCAATCACCGACACCTCCATTGCCACCAAAATTGCCACAAAAAATGCCCGAAAATGTGATCAAAGAGTTTAACGCTGAGAATGGTATAAAAGTGACCGACAGGGATGACAACTCCGATCAGTCCATCGCACCCGTAGTCAACTCTAGCCTTACCAAAACCATGGGCGCCAAGAAATCTCGGTTTTCATTCACTAAATTTGTCACAAACGCCGGCTATTATGTGAAGCAATCGCTAGGGCTGTCCACCCGTACCGGTGATGGTGTGGGCAATGAGACGGTGGCTGCTGGACAATTTAATACAGGGCAACAAATTGTTACACCTGTAACTGTAGCTACGCCTTCGGTCACATCAATACCCTCGCCATTAGCGCCCGGCTCTCACCCCTCGGCGCCCATCAACTATCTGGACGTTGAACTCAATGCGGAAACATTTTCCACAACCGGCAGTTCCCCACACATGCCGTACATTACATTCACAGCATGTGTGGGCACAGTATGGGTGACTAGAATTAGGTTTTGTGCTGACGAGTACCGGGCGGTCGTACGGTTAGCACAGATATTGAGCGCCAGGGCGTCGGCGAGAGATCCGGACGTCATTGTCAGACAAATGGCCAAAAGTGGTTTCGATGATTGGGATTATGACAAGTGTTTGAATTACTTTTACAATGCACTGCATTTGTATAAAACGGTTTATTTTATAATTTTATCATGACCAATATTTACTGTGTTTAATTATGATAAATTATTTTTTGCTACTAGTGTTTGGCGAACTGTCCGAACCGGGAGACGGCGGCCACCGTTTACCCCCTGTTCAACACAATGCACTCATTTGTACCCTATTTTCTCATGACTGCCGACGCTTTTGGCGAACTAAACGAATTGCGGCGAGAATTTACCGATAAATGTGACCAATCCGGCAAAAATGATCTTGCTAATCACACAATTAGTACACAAATAGGCCACCAATTAATGGACAACACAACACTTGAGCCCCCGGTTTTGGACATCATTCAACCCAAGTATGCGTCCATAACCCGCACAACTAGTGAACAGAACCCGATTGACTATTTGGCACTACCGGTAACGGGACCGGTGTTTATCGTAAACCCGAAGTGCCCGCACTTGCCATACATGTCAACCGTAGTTAACGTGCGGAGCGTATGGCTTAGAGTCGCGCATATAAGGCCAGTTAATCGCCTGGCCCTCAATCTGCTGTTACAATTGGTGGACAAACACCGATCCACCGATGGTAGGCCTATGACTGAGATCGAGTGGGCACGTGTGGCCAATAATATGCCCCGTATTAAGGCTCTCAATAAACCCGATGTGGTGTTTGACCCGAAACGGTGCCAAAACTATGTGCAAAACGCTCTGGACTTATATAAAAAGGTACACATCTCTCTCTCTCTCTCTCTCTCTCTCTCTCTCCATACTTACAATCTTATAAAACTTGGTCACGTGAACGGTAAACAAAAACTGGCATGACTTATTCGGGGTCAATGTGTGGCCCGAGTCCAGCATAAGCTGCGATACGTGCGACCAAAACAACTCCTGGTTCTCTTCAAAGGGACTCACCATTTGAATCGCTTCGTCAACACAACGGCACAGATGGGTAAAAACGAGTAAATCGCTGTGGGTGATTTTGGCACACATTACATAAAGTTCGTGTACGTCGTTTCTACCCGCCAGAGTGAGGTTGGGTGGGTAGACAGGGGACGTCACAATCACCTTAGTCGACACAGTGATAGGCCTGAGCTGGGAATCCATAGGCGGTCTATAGGGCGGGCCAGTGACTGACGGGACCGGCAGTGCAGACGCCGTGGACACTAGTGTTGCAACTAGTTTATGGCCTACGGGCGCGATGTCCGAGACATTTGTCTGAATGGGTGGTGCACTGGCTTTGGCCGCTGGTAATGCAAACGGCGCTACAATTGTCGGGTCACCACTCAGTTTACTGCATACCAGTGCTGTGTTAGGGATATTACTGGTAAATGTGTTGACCGGTGCCGTATTACAAGACTCCGGCCGCTGGTCCTCGATATAAGTGCCACAAATCCTACACATATTCGCAAATAATTTACGCAAACGTTTGATTTCACGGCACTCGGCGTCCGATACAACTGACTCCGGGTTAAACTCGTGTAAAGTATAAAACATGGGAAACGCTATGCCGGCCCTATCCATGTTTGGGCACACCTCCAATGTCTGCAAAAATATTAATTACCATGGTTATTTTACATTGGCATAAAAATATTTTATACCGGAATTACCTTTTTATATAAGTCGAGTGCGTTTTGCACATAGTTTTGGCACAGTTTCGGGTCAAACACTACATCGGGTTTATTGTGATCGCCGACTCGAAGCATAGCAATAGCCACCCGTTCCCACTCGGTTTCGGTCATAGGCCTACCATCGGTGGACCGGTGTTTGTCCACCAATCGTAACAGTCGGTTGAGAGCCAAGTGGTTGGCGGCCCCAAAGTGCCCGGTCCTAAACCACACACCTTTCACTTTAACAATAGAGGTCTTGTACGGCAAGTGCGGGGAACTAGTATTTGTCACAAAGTTTCTGCCTGTCACCGGTAGACACAAGTAGTCAATCGGGTTGTGTTCACTACAACCGGTAGGTGTGGGGTCTACAGGGGCTATGGTATCGGCATCAGTGGCTGCTGTACAAGTAGGTAGAGGGGCGACGGTAGGGGTGGTGATTGTAGTGACACATTGGCCGCATTTCTTGTCAAACATACGCTTTAGTTCATTGAGTTTAGCAAAGTCTTTGGCAGTCATGAGATAATAGGGTACAAATGCATGCATTGCGGTGAACAGGGGGTAAACGGTGACCGCCGTCTCCCGGTTCGGACAGTTGGCCAAACACTGCGACCAAAATCAAATAAAAATACACATAAATATACATATGTATTATGGTAAATAAAACTTATTAAAATTACCTTTTCATAAAAATACAAAGCGTTGTAAAAGTAATTGACACACTTCTTGTACTGCCAGCCACTGAAACCACTTTTGTCCATAAGTGCAACCATAGTGTCCGGATTGCGGGCACCCGTACTGTCTCTCGATATCTCTATCAACCGTTTGACCGCCCGGTAGTCACCGGCAGCAAATCGTACGCACGTCACACATATGGTGCCAACACATGCCGTAAATGTAATGTATGGCATGTTTGGGGAGCTGTCGGTTGTGGCAAAATCGTATGGATTGAGTTCAACGTCCAGATAGTTGATGGGCGCCGAGCGGTGAGAGCCCGGCGCTAATGGCTCAGGAATATGTGTATCTGTATGTATAGGTATGACCGCAGGGGGTGCTGGCGCTATACTGGACTCAATTGGATGCTCTGGTTCTGCTCTAACAGATCCCTCCACCCCCTCACCGCCCAGACTATCACTAACACCAGTGCCGGTACGGGTGGACAGCCCTAGCGTTTGTTTCACATAATAGCCGGCGTTTGTAATAATGTTATCAAAACAATAGCGCACTGTATGTGCGGTCAGGTCTATGGCAGGGGTTTGAGGTGAAGGTAGAGCGCTGTCATCCCTGTCCGCGACTTTAATGTCATTCTCGGCGTTAAACTCTTTGATAATATTTTCGGGCATTTTTT